TTTCTTTTTTCAGGCTGCATAAATGAGTAACTGATATTTACGATTCAGTAAAGCGCCGAAAGCTGCCTTTACTAACCAGCTTCTCAAATTGTTTTTTTCAAGCTATCTTCAGAAGCCTGTCTTTGTTAAACAATTGACCATGTCCACTGCGACCTGATGCAAGGCATGCCCCAAGAAGGGCAGAGGGGCATCTTACAGGTAATCCCCTTGAAAGAAAAAGTTGCAATACCCTTTTAAACAATGTGCTTAAGCCATTTTTTTAAACAAGGACGCTGCTTTCCATCAGAGGCAGGTTAGCACCAGCCCCCTCTTTGCAATCAACCTAGGATGTTTGTTTTTCAAGCTATCTTCAGAAGCTTGTCCTTGTTAAACAATTGACAAGGTCCACTGCGACCTGATGCAAGGCATGCCTCAAGAAGGGCAGGGGGCATCTTACATGTATCCCCATTGAAAGAAAAAGTTGCAATACCCTTTTAAACAATATGTACTGCCAACAGCCATTTTTTTAGCAAGGACGCTGCTTTCCATCAATATCGTAGGCGGATGATGGACTGCCGGTACTGCCAGTCAATGAAGAGGCCCAAGAGGAGATTGGGTTGTTATGGTCATCTGGAACTGATCCACACATTAACCGCCTCAGTGGCTCATCGGGTAAATTGCATGTTGTTTCCCCGAGGAAACCTGAGTTCAAATCCCGGTGTGGATACTTTCCCCGACCCTTGAGGGTAGTCTTTTTCTTCAGGCTGCATTCAAGAGTGACTACTACTTTAGCACATTGGGTTGTTATGGTCATCTGGAACTGATCCACACATGAATCGTCTCAGTGGCTCATCGGGTAAATTGCATGTTGTTTCCCCGAGGAGACCTGAGTTCAAATCCCGGTGTAGATACTTTCCCCGACCCTTGAGGGTAGTCATTTTCTTCAGGCTGCATTTAAGAGTGACTTCTACTTTAGGACATTGGGTTGTTATTGTCATCTGGAACCATTCCACACAGGAACTTTCTCAGTGGCTCATCAGATAAATCGCACGTTGTTTCCCAGAGGAGACCTGAGTTCAAATCCTGGTGTGGATACTTTCCCCAACCTTTGAGAGTTGTCATTTTCTTCAGGCTGCATTCAAGAGTGACTGCTACTTTAGGACATTGGGTTGTTATGGTCATCTGGAACTGTTCCACACAGGAACTGTCTCTGTGGCTCATTGGATAAATCGCACGTTGTTTCCCCAGAGGAGACCTGAGTTCAAGTCCCGGTGTGGATACTTTCCCCCACCTTTGAGAGTTGTAATTTTCTTCAGGCTGCATTCCAGAGTGACTGCTACTTTAGAATCAGCAAAAACCAGCTTCCCCACACGTCTGTTTTATGACACATGCAGCA